ACGATTGAATAGAATTGCGCATGATTATTCTAACACTTCTCTATTGCAGATATATTGATAAAAATTCAAAGTGCACTCTGTCACATTGTGTAACGTCTCGTTGATATACGTATCAAGGACTCACCTGTGATTCAAATTCGCAGAGCGTAGAATTTTCTATAAATTTGTTTTATGCGTATTATCGTAAACGTTACATAATACTCTAGACATAAATTTTTTATGCACGTGCGTTACGGTACCATAAGAAACAAAAGAGATATCGAAATCAAACGGAGAGGAAAGTAGAACAATCTTTTTACGAGGAAACTTACGTTAACCATTTATAGCGTATTCCTTCTGTTTTCCAGGATATTCCACAGTTTCTAAGAGGTAAGCTGTTTTATAAACTTATAAATCTCTCGAGAGTATTCCAAATGTACAAACGTAAAGAAGAAGTTTCAAGTTACCATGCTGCATAAATTCCAATGAACTCTTGCGGCGATTTAAAGAACACAATGAGGTTTTGCAATAACCTCAGTGAACTAGTTCCATCGTCGTTATCATAACGACGTTGGATACATACCTCTTTATTTGATATACAATTCAATTTCTACTATAATAGTGATTAAGAATTATTCGTCAATGTCGATTTTAAACGATAGAATATCCGTAATGTGTAACAGAGTGCATATATCTGCATTTTAAAATTATTAGTTCAAAGATAATTAATATATGACATGATTAATAACATGATTAATATTTATAATAATGTCCCAATGTTATAATAACGTCTATAATTCAATAAATTTTATTATAGACATAATTAAACATACAATTGAGACTGCTAAATTTGGTTATTGACACATTTATCATCAATTATTTATATTTAATTTCTTGCAAATTATGTTATATTCCATAATAATAAAATTAATATGAAACGGGTGTTTTATAAAGATTTTATTGAGAAATCCTAGAACGTGGTAACATTCGTAACATATCGTGCCATCTTACGAAGTCTGCTTACCGCGTGTTAATATTTTACGGCAAAGCCGGCGCAGGTTATGGATATGACACGCGTATGGTGCCCATAATATCATTGCATATGGGTACAGCAATAGACCGAGACACGATGGGGCGGACCCAACGTGGAATTAATCACTGCGAAGATCGTACGCGGTATATACGCGTCTGTCGTAACCGGAGAAACCCTTCAGGCCTATTACACAATAGAGTCGCAATTCGTAAGCCGTAAGAAATTGGTCAATCACAGTTGAATATGATAAAAATAATCGACTATGATTGATTAATTTCTTACGGCTTACGAATTGCGACTCTATTGTGTAACAGGCTTTAACGATTCCATTTATCCTGTACAAGCTTGACGTGGAAACCTCCAATACGCTCTTTCGCTACTCTCGACAATTAGTTTCTCCTAAGATTCGTTTGAAGATGTTGCCGCACATCATAACACACATTTACATTTACATTTAGTTTAATTGCGTTTATAAGTCCGGAAAACCAATTCGGCGCGCAGTTCGAATGACTACAAATATGGTATATATCCATGTACATATATAATATATATACAGTATACGCCAAAAAAATGCGACTCTCTTTTAATCATTATTATGTTTGCTGAATGTGACACAGTAACACAGTGATTGTAATTAAAGGAAATCATATCGAATAAATATTTGGTAAAAGGACAAAATATTTGTGTTATAATCAAATTTGCCCCCGTCCATTCACTTTATTTAACTAAACCGACAACTAAAGTGTTAGTTTGTGAAAGTCACATTTTCTTTTGGTGCATACTGTATGTATATAATTCATATTAAATTATTTAAGTATTAAAGATCCAGCTCCAACCGGTATAGACATTTAATTTCTAGTTCGCATTGTGTTCTCATATGTACGGTCTAAAATAAGATTCTTATTGTTTATAATGAGTAATGTTGTGGAAATTTCTGACTTCTAGTTTGAGCGTCCTACATATTTTGATTTAACAAAATTCTAACAAAATTATTTTCACAGGTGTGTATCTAATTACATTTTAGGTACATACTTTAGCAAAATCGTTCTTTCCGTGCACGTAACATGTTGGATATCGTAAAATTAGATAGCATGTTTGGATAAGGGAGTTAATGTCACAGGACGATGTAAAATCGCGAATCTTGCATGAGGCGAGATTGAAGCGGCACGGGGGCATCCTGCGTTACAGCGAAGTCGTAATTGCGCGTTGTCAGGAAAACGTTGCGAAACCCTTGTTAATAACGGGCGAGCGCGGGATGATTTATATCGTAGCCTATTTAGCGGCGATTAGCGTTTCGCGTAGAGTTACGCGCGCCAGTCGTTCGCTTAACAAGCTTAAACTTAAATTACCGTATTAATCGCGCAGCAGCACCGCAGGGTCTAACCGAGTAACCACCTGAGCGGTCGAGCGGTACACGCGATCGCAAATATGTCGTCCGGTATTTCCGGAACCTCGTAAACGTATAACTGCATTAGAGTGGAAACTCCATGCGCGCGACCTACGACATCCTGCTGGCAAATCTCCTCAAGTTGCAGCGTCACCAAAAGACACGTGCCGCCGCGTGCCGTATGTGCGCGCTCGACGAGGAGGATATTTCGAGGACAAGGGACCGCGAGAGGATCGGGATAACGGAGGGAAGATAGAATTCTGAACGATGTGGGGTACCGTACCGAAACGCTCGTCCGATGTAGGCTTGCGCGATCGTAAATTCCGTGAAACGACGGTACATCCAGCCAAATTATACATGTCGTAAAATATTCCTGCCCGGTTTCTAGCAAGACAGCTTGGAAATATTTCGCCTAATATCATTTCTCCCTCTGGTCTGTTTCTTTCTTTCACTTGACTGCCGAAAGACGAAGAAGGTGGAAAGCTGGAATTGTACCGGAGAAGGAAGATGAATAAATACGACGGTAGTTTGCAAGAGGACAGAACACAGAGAGAGAGAGAGAGTTCCAATATACGTTTCTATATATCATAGAGACGGTAGGGACACGACCATGGGAACAAAACAATATTTTTCAATGTGCTAAAATTATCGAACACACTCTCTTTTAAAACAGTAACTAAAATTTCCGTTCTTCGCGGCATTATTTCTATGAAGTCAGTGAAAAACAAAAGCGCATCTACAGAATGCCATATTTAATTAGCATTCCTTCATCAGTCGCGTTGGAAAGAGAAATCTTACCGTCGGGTTGTACAGTTACGTATGAAAGAAACGCACAGAAACGCGGCTTTTATCATGAAAATGTAATGGTATAACTAATTAATTTTGTAGAGTAGGGAGACAAATTGCATTAGGTTTATGACTACTTCGAACGGTGCGTTTCTGTAATTAAGATAATTTTTACGAGCGTGAAAAGGACTGCTCCGTCCTTTGGCGCTTGTCATAAAAGAACTCTACGAGGTGAATGTATTTCGTAGTCTCGTCATGAACGGAAGTTTTGCGGCGTCGCGTCGAGAGAATCACATCGCGCGACTATTTCCATTTTCCATCTACGTGAAACGTCAGGACACGTCCGTTCCTTGCGAGACGTAATAGATACGGCGGTCATGCGATATCGTTGAACTACGGGATATAGCGGAATCGGATTTACTGGACATGTTCAGCGAGCCGTAAAATCGGATCGTATATTAGAAAATTTTTCGTGGATGTACATCGCGATCTCGGGCTCTCTTCGAACATCCATGATATCTCGTCGAAAAAAATTTCTAAAAACGATAGAATGTCTCGAGACTGTCGAGTGGATTACAACTGCAGATCATGGTACCGCTAGTACCGTCTTCGAGAAAATCAACAGAGAGATTTTTCGAGCAACACCGAAAAGTTGCACCGCATTTGAACTCTTTGGGAATGAGACTCGAACGAATCGGGGCAGCGGGACGCGTCACGAATCTGCTACAAACAAGTAATTGGAATAGAGAAGTTAGGCAGACAAGACTTCTGGTTTAACTTGAGTACAAACCAAAAATCTTTCTCCGGCTGACAGTCGATTGATGTTTCTGAACCTCGGAATGTAGCATTAGAAGACATTTCAACTTACATATTTGTATGTGAAATGAATAAAAGATAGAAGTCTTTATATATACGTGTCCAAATATTGCTTATTCTTTAAGATAATCTCTCTTTCTTGGAAAATGATTGTAAAAAACAAGAGTGTATTAAAAATATTCTGTTTTTCTTCCAATCACAAAATTAATAATGTATATTTTATACACGGAGTGCCTCGAAAATAGAAGATAATAAAACTGCAGCATAAAAGTTCATAAATAAATTAAATAATAAAAGTACTTGCTATTTTTTGAAATAAAATGCTTTTTAAGTTTAAAGATTCAAGATATAACTAATCCTAAATCCGTTGGTTAAAAAGTCATCTACATGGTAGTCATACAATGGTATTAGATATTGAATATTTCGAGATCACACCGACACTAAATAAAACATTGTGATATAAACGATTTTTAACCAATATTTAGAACTAGTTATATCGTGAATTTTTATGCTAAAAACCTATTTTATGAAAAAAATGACATGCATTTTTATTATTCAATTTTTCACGAATTTTCCTGCTGCAATCTTATTATCCTAGAATTTCGGGATATTCTTTCGGAATCCATATAAATACCCATTCTCTTTCATTTTTACGTTAATTTTTCATGAAAATAATCGGATGAATGCTTGATTAGCTGTAAGAAAACATTCTTTCGCAAAGGTGCGAAAGCAAACAATCAAAATGGTATGGTAGCTTAAATGTTTCCAACTGCTGAAAGCACCGGGTGAATACGGGCTGAATCAGATCAAAGGATAAAGTCGTCTTGTTTCCATTGTCATCCAACACTTTGATCTCACGTATACGCGATACGTTACTCCTCAACGAGGGACAATGGTATAAAGTTTCCAGTCGTTCTCAATCGCTGCGAGTTTTGAAACGTTGTAATAGGATTCCTCGTCGCGACTCGCGTAACATAAAGGATTTATACAGATACTCACCTGACGTGGAAACAGGGATGAAAAGCAGCTGGATTATCCTGCGCGGAGAAGTTCGGCAAAGTACCATGAAGTAGAGCGAGCCGTACCACAAGAAGTATGCTAAACTGCAAACATTAAATGGTCGATAAATTTTCATATTGTTCCAGAGACACATTTTTCTTTCAAATATGACACTTATAGAAATATCCAGACACTTTAAAGCAAATGTGGATTTAAAAGCTGATTGTTTGAATTAGTGCTTATATTAATATTCAAATTAATGTTTAAATTTAAATTTAACAACTTGATTTCTTGATGTCTTTAATATTAATAACTAGGAAGAATTTAAAACCTTAAATATAGCAAGTTTTACATGTATATATAACCTCAACAGTGAGTTCATAGTGTGAATATCAAATATGACATTAAGACTGATATTCATGGTCCGTTCTTATTTTAAGAAAGATCTTAAAATGTGTGTGTTAATACGGTTCTGTGATTGATTCATGACATTTTAAGGTTGTCTTAAATATAAAACTATAAATATCTAAATCAAATGTCTCTTACTTAGGAAAATACGCTTGTATTGCGTATGAATTTATTAAATTAAAACTCGCAACTCTTATTCTTTATACTTATAATTTATCATAATTGAATCATAAATCGTTATTTTATATTTATGTGTATATAACAAAAAGTAAAATAAAACAAAATAATTGAACTATACTTTGAAACAGTTTCTCAAATTATTTATTCAGTTTATTGATTCACTGCATGACGGTAGGGGCGTAAATACAGAAAGATATAAACCATTACAATGCAATGAAATGAATCAAAGTAGAGTTAATGTTCCAAAAGTGAACAACACAAAGGCAAAATTGTGCATTCGTATGCCGCGTCCATGTGATACAATTTTCTCTCTACGTTAATTATTCATCATCTGTAAGATACGTGGCGAGAAAGCTAGTAATACATCTCGCAATAATGTTACCAGTCGACGCAAGGCACCAGTCACGTTCTACTAAATGGTTTAATTAAGTAACATGATTCGCGTGTCTGAATAGCAAAGAACGAAAGGTAGTTGCAGTCTCTATCTGTCTCTTTCTCTCTCCCCCCCCCTCTCTCTCTCTCTCTCGTGCGCGCGCCAAGACGTCGTCACGTTCACGCAGAGGATGACACGAGACCGTCGTCACATTTCCGTCACGTTCTCCACAGAGCTCGCTAACCCAATAGACGTCCGTACCATCCTTCGATAGACCGCTCTCTATCCCTTATTCCGGAGTTATCCGAGGGCGTCGTTGGCCCTCTCACTGTCTCTCCGCCTTTGTACCTACGTCGGGGTCGCTCTCGCTCGCATTCTTGTCGGCGGATAGACACGGTGGTGAGTGGTTCTGGAAGGGTTGGAGAGTCGGACAATATCTGCCAATTCGAGGTATTCATATCCTCTAGGATCGAAGTCGACAGACGAGGGTAGCGTCCATCCTAAGCAGTCACACGAACACGTCGTATGTACGTAACGCTGTCATCGAAACGCCGCATCCTGTAGAGACGTTCGACACCAATGCCGGCCTTGTTCTTCGATGGGAAGCTCTTGGAATATTGTATTACGCCATCACGAGGATCCCGGCTGACCTGCGGAATACGGTGAGCGGAACGGAAATTCAATTCCGATAAATATCCGATCCGCACGAAATGTCGTATCGCATATTGATGCAGCTTTTTTTCAACATTGCAAATTTTTAACCGTGGATGAATACACAATTGTAAGTAATGCTTGGATACAGCAACGGAAAGCTAATAAATTACACTGTTAGAAATGTGACCACGAGCTTCCTTTACATATAAATAAAGCTCGTGGTTATGAACAAAATTAAAAGTAATAAATGATTTAACTAAAAATTAAGTTACAGTAGTTACTTAAATGTAATGAACGTGTACATTAAATTTCATAAATTTTCATGAAAAATACATTAAATTTCATGTATGTACACGTACACAAATATACTTTTAAGTTATAAATACATTAAATTTAATGTAACGTCATGAAATTAAGTTCAAACTGTGTAAATTAAAAGTATATTAAATTTCATAAAATTTTTAACAGTGTAGAGATTATAATATATTCTGCAGACTAATACATATCTTATTCTTTTAAGATTAAGATTTTTCTCGAAAATGCATTCATTTACTTAATATATTCGATTAGATATCGCGATAATAATTAAGTAATGATAAAGTAACTGCAGGAAGCAATCGCGATAATGCATTTTTTGCTGGTATAGTAGTTTCGATCGTAATTTCTCTTTAATTGTAGTATCTTAAGGGAGTGTAAGACAAGCGAGAGTTAAACGTTAAGCCAATTAGATAACAGTGAGCATAGCAATGTACAATCAGTAAACAGTGTATGTATCTCTCTCTCTCTAATGGATTGGCCTACTGATCAGGTTTATCATATTAGATGTTAGCTGTATAATGCGTCTTTAGCGCTCGTGCCTTCCAATACAATAGCGACGATTTTTTAATGTGATTAATTGCATTAAATAATAATTTAATAATTTAAAAGCATTTGACGTTAATTCCTTCAGAAAATTATTTGAAATTTCTCTGTAAAAATAGAAACGTAAGCAACATTAATTAATTTCTTTGTAATTAATAGCCAAATATACAGTATGCCAAAAAAATGCGACTCTCTTTTAATCATTATTATGTTTGCTGAGACAGTAACGCAAGGATTGCAATTAAAAGAAATCATATCGAATAAATATTTGGTAGAAAGACAAAATATTTGTGTTACAATCAAATCTGCCTCCACATCTACTTTATTTAACTAAATCGACAACTGAAATGTTAATTGTAAGAGTCGCATTTTTTTTGGCGCATACTGTAAAAGATATGTAATTATGCTATCTCACTTATATAGAATTGAAATAGAATGATTTTGCTGAAATATTTAAAAATTTAACTTGTTAGATCTGAAAATATTTGATTAAACCACTGAAGTGGAACGCATAAACATTGATGGCAATGCTGCAAAAAGTTTTTACATTCTAACGACTAGGTTTGAACGTCCTAAATAAGTATTTTGGTCCAAACAAAATTATTTTCAAAATTATATCTAGCATTTTTAAATACTTCAATAAAATCGCTCTTCCCATGTAATCAACAATGAGAAGTATTATTTTACAAACAAAATATAATGTCTTTATCTCAATTTGTTCAAACAAAAAAATTTATAAATCTGTCAAACTACGTTCAACGTTAGCTAAAATATAACATCATATTTTAGAATATTAGCGAGTTTTCCTGGCAATGAAGACTGAGAAGCATCATTGAGAATGACGTACTTGAGGACGTGTAAGTGCTACGGGATGGCGGAAACGACAAGGGTAGAAAGAGATCCGGGATATGTAGATAACTGTGTGAGGGTAGATCGTGTGCAAGCACGCCTCCCTCGTTCAGCGGCATAAATTAGCATAACTCAGAATCGTGTTCGGTTAAAGTACTTTCCATGCGCAACCTTTATTCCTGCATTGGGCCACGTGATAGATCGTGCTCCCGCCTTGACTTACCACAATACATCTTAAGGGTGAAATACGTTATTTAGCAATTCCAATACTGAGGGAAATTATACAATTGAGTTTACCATCTAATTATACACTACAGAATTTTAATGTGAAACTTGAAACTCTATTCCTTCAAAAACTGTCTTTTTATAGAAATTTAACTTATAGAAAGATTAATGTAACTAGAAAAAAATTACGATCGTAAAATTATTATCCGTCTATACAGGATATCCCAAAATTGACGATAAATATTTTAAGAACAGATTCTTTGTAACATTTTAAAACAAAAAGTCTACGAAAATGTCAAGACTATGGTAGTTTTTAAACGGAAAGAGTTTAAAAATTACGAATGTCAGAGATTTCGCGCGCTCGGGGATGATCAGTATAAAGATGTTGAATTTTGCCAATGAGAGCCGACATAGTTAAACATGTGTAATCTAAATATATGTCAATCACCAATTACAGACATTTCGACTATAAGATTAGGTCATCCTAATCTAATCCAAGATTAGAGCATAAGTAACAAATATCAGTCAAATTAATACGTTGTAAAAAGATAGGCGAATAAAGTGTACAGTCAATGGCTACGTTTATACCGTGCGCTTAGTCCGCGATCTATACGATAGATGTCTTTGTTTAATCTATAGGATAAATAAGGACATATATAGGCTGCTGTCTAAATGCACGGTGTAAACGTAGCCATTGAATCATCATTAGGCTGTTGTCCAAAATTAAAAATTTCAATTGTCGTCTGTCGTATTTAGCTGGATATTCAAATCAGAATTCCATAATTTAAATTGAACTCAGCATGAGGATGATCTGTTATAACGCGATGTGATTATACTTGTGTCTTGAGACCGTGTGAGAGGATATTTTTTTTATTAAATTTCGCACACATTAAATTCTTTTCTTAAAATATTACAAAAAAATCTGTCTTTAAGATATTCATCATCAGTTTTGGAACGTCCTGTATATCATTTCATAATTGCTAAATATTTAGTATCTAATACAATGCTTGCTTGATAATGGGCGTATAGTATAACCATTATTGATTGTTAGAGATATGCTATCCTTGGATCTTTATCGAACGCTTCTTCGTGTTGGTAAGGGTGCTTAATACGACACCGTCTAAATTAATTCGCGACAATAAAGACGATGAGCGCCGGCGCGGTAAGAGCCAGCGTTTCTTGGGTATGAACATCAACGACAGTAAAGCGCCGAGAATTTAATAGCATCTCATAAACTCCGTTTAGGGGTTACACCCTACGGTGTCGTGATCGACCAACATGACCTCAATGGATTCGAACCAAAAATACAAGAAATTCACATCCTTTATCGATGAAATTTACCACTTGACTTGAGACTCCTTTGAAGATTCGAGGCACTTCACGCCCGCGTGGATTTTGCTAGAAAGAGAGAGCCTTCTTAAAAGCTTTACTATTCGCAAAAACTTTAAATCCTGTTTGAAAATTAAGTTTCAAAGAGGATTCCAAATTAAACGCATAAAATGTTCGATCGAAATTAAACTGCGCAAGTTTTCCGCTTCTTTAAAGTGTATTCAAGTTAAAATGTGATGTTTAACTTTAATGAATCCTAAAGGAAGATAAATTGATCATTTAATTATTGCCGTCACTTGACAAAATTAATTGCGAGAAAGCTGATTATTATCATGGATGCCGATGGTAAGCCCGTGCCGTATTTTCGATTGCCGAGCATTATACAATACCCATTTATGCGAATCGTACATCATTCTGTTGATCTTTTGAAACTGCCGCTATTTCATCCCTCGCTTCGTTTGCCGCACAGTTTGTCTTGTGTTGCATAGCAGTTCGGGGAATGTTATTTATTTTCGGCGACCGTAAAGGGAAATTCTCCACGTCGAGTGTATCTATGGTAACGATCGTTAAATTTGCTTAAAGCGCGAGTTGCTGTAAACATCGGTGTCTGACTATAGCCAGGCGATAAAAACGAAAGATATCGGTCGTTAAGAATTAATGCCAGCACGGAATAGAGAGAGCGAAAGAGAGAGAGAGAGGATCCGCGCTAATTCCGTGGATTATAGAAGAGCGACGATCGTGTTTTCTCAACACGTAGAAAAATCCTCTTTAGGTATAACGCCGAGTTATACTAGCAGCTATATTACAACAGTGTGTGAGTACACACTTGCAAACGATTCGCGATCACTTCATCAAGACTTTTATCTTCTTCTTCTTCTTCTTCTTGATATCTTTAATAAATTTTCTGAATAAAGCAATCAAGGACAAATCAATATTATATAATACAATATTATACAATACGCTTCTCTCTCAATTGCTGTGAAAGCTTGATATAAAGCTGCTTGATTTTTCTGTTAATCTAGTTACGTGATAAGTTGAGTTGCACAGACCTAAATGGATAAATATAGTCATGGACATCCCTGCAATTCCCCGGATACCAGAAGTGCAGACATTGTCGTTAATACAATAATAGCAAAGCTAGTCGCTCTTGTCACTCGTCTGAAAATCCTGTGGGATTTCCACGCACGACCGAATGTGCATGGTGCATTGAGGGGATTCCAATCCTTTTTGACCATTACTAACTCATCTATATTTCACATTATTATGAAGTCATTTTTTCTTCTCGATCTTTTAGGATTTAATATGATTGATTGCCTTTAACAACCAATATTAGAATGACAGTGATGCATCGAATACATCGCCGAACTCGTTTTGAGACATAAGATTTTGTCACGATATATTCACACTTTCATCATAAATCAGAGTGATATAATCACAATATACCAATTATCGTATATTTATATTATAAATGTAGACGTGACTCTATTTGTTACTATACTAAAATTATCTCATAACTTACCGAAACGAGTAACGCTGCAGCACGTTTGGAAAAATATCTAGAATCGTCGTTCCACTTGGCTTCGAAAATAGACCTGTAAAATACATGTACCGAATAACGTGATGACTTTTTTTTTGTATTGCAGATTACATTATACGTCTACTGTTGTGAATACAAAAAAAGTACCGAACAACTGCGCCAGTACACTATCACTATGATTAATAGTGCATCAAGTCAATTTTTGAAAAGAGTTTGCATTCCAACACGAAACCTTAACGCGCCGAAATATTTTGGCCGCATTTTTACCGTCACGAGAAGCACATTTACCGCTTTAGGACATGCGATATAGAATTCATGATGATTTTATTGTCGTTGCACGTACATGATTTCCGACGGGGAACGAATAAATTTCATGTGTCTTTTTCGTCTAACATCTAATCAAACGCAACATACAAGTGTCTTAGATTAATTCTATTGACTGTGAGGTATTATAAATAACCAAAATCAAGATAACTATATCAGTTTAAAGTTTACCTCAAAATGGCTCAAAGACATTTAACCTTACATTTCGCCAGAACGTACACCACGCTCCAATAGCACTTAAACACTTACCTCTTGATTGAATGCCAGGAACGACAGAGATCGTAAAGAAGGTTTAGTGCCAGAACAGTAACGCCAGTTTCCTTCGCCAACATTGATAGGGCACCCAAGCAAACGCTGGACCATACATAAGCCGTCTGCTGGCTGTAAAAAAAGTAAATATTTGGAAATTATATAAAAAAATATATAAGTAATAATATAGCTCAATAAAATAAAATTAATAATAATAAAAAAGAAGGATTACGAGCCAAAAACAATAACTTTTTAATGTTCGAAAAACAGTACAAACATATGTTTCGATATCGCCGATCGGGTCATTATCAATGTAATAAAAATAAATACAAAATTTGAACAAGTGACATTCTTTAGCGATTACAAGTAACATATAAAATAAAAATATTGAAAAGATTAAAATAATTTACTGCCTATTAGTCGATAATCCATTGTATTAAAATAGTTTCCTGTCTCTTAGTCGATCCTGATCGCCAAAGGTGGTGCAACTTTGAGTTATTCGAAATAAAAAAATATACAATCTTAAATTAGATTTTGTCTTTTACGTACTTAGAAGACATAAATCGATTTAAGTCTTTAAATATCAGACGGACTTCAGTATTACTATTTTCATTCGTATATTATACAACAATTGTAGACTTGAGACAATTTCAATCGGTGATTACAGCTAAAAATTAATGTAATTTAAGTACACAGGCATCTTATAATTACGACTATAATGTCTTGTAATTTTTTTATTAATTATTAAAAGATATTATAAACGCAGTTTATACTATAAAAAATAATACATTTAGAATTTGAAATCTTTTTATATAAAACATTATTTTAAAACAATAGACAAAAGAATTGTTATAAATATAAAATAACCAAAACGTTCGTATATGACAGAAATAATATTTTAATAATACAACCATATTTTTGCTTGAACAGATGTATTTCATGATATTTCCAATATATTTTTCTCTTCTCAGGTCGAATAGAAACGTCGGTATCGGGAAACAATTCTCACCAAGAACATTGATCCAAAGACATGTAGGATTTATTCGTTTACGTCGGTCGACATCTACATCAATCTACGCTGAATGACAGATCCGTTCCAAGATGTCGTTCGAAATTTTAGGAACAACGAGATCAATGTGAGACTTGTCCGCCGAGACAAGACCTTCCTCGGAAACTCGTTCAAAAACGAGGTAAAACGGTCGTGGTAAAATGAAAGTGTTTCTTACAATTTACATCAAGTTTTCTAAGTAAGATTAATAGTAACTCGCCGCGAAGTAACGGCAAAGTGCGAATGAGAATACACCCACTTTGTAGAAAAGTAAAGTGATCAAGATTTAAGAAGACGACAAAAGTCTTGATGATAAGCCAAATGTATAATTGGAATTAATCATCGATGGGCTTAATCGCCGAAGGATTTAAACGCGATGCGTAAATGATTGGGAAATTGAATCGAAGACGGAAGAGACACCAGTCAGGTAAAAAGAAAGAAGATAGATAAGCATAAAGGCGGATGAAGCAAAGGTGGAAGGAAACGAAGAAGAAAGAGTACTCAAAGGCAGCCAAGAGTAATCAATTTCCTAGGTTCGAAGACAAGCATCTTACCCTTCTGCCAGCCATTGGCTGTCCGACGCTAGCCCTACAGACGGAGTTTTACCTTCTTGTCTTCTGCAAACGCTCTTTTATGTTGGAGTACGACCTCTACGAAAGCTTTTTACAATCAAGTCCGTCCCTACAGATTTTTCGTTATATTCAGGCTTTTCTGCGCAGTTTATTAATGAAATTTACTTAAAGTTTACAATTTAGCTTCTTTATGATTAATTAAACTTACGCTCAGAAATAGCAACGTATATCTGCCGTAAAGTCGTAAAATGAATATTACGAGAATAATGTCTCTTTAGAAACATAATTGAAATTGTTTTGTGCGTTGAGTCATTCTTCTTAGCTCTTGTGCTGAAGATCGATCGTGAATAACCCGGGGCACATTTACGATCCCACGTAACTGTAATAGTAGTTTGTAGAGTAAATTAGTTTAGTTTATAATTTTCGGGCTCCATGTACATGAGAACGAATGGGTCGCTGTTTTGGCGTCAGGTTGGCGTCGTCGCGACATTAAGTGTCGCCCGACATTCTTGACGTATGTGCAGCCCCTAAGTTCCTCCAGATATACCCTCCAGTACAGGAGGGTATATCAACTGTATTCCAACTTTTAGATAATATATAGATATATAAGCATAATGTGTAAAGCGAGTGCGAAATTTTTTCAACTTGGCTAAATTATTTTTTGCATAACTTTGAAATTTATATTTGTAGTATATAATATCTTAGGTAAAGAAAAATTTAGATAGAAAAAATTTATATGAACCATTTGTATGTTCAAATTTATATGAACCATTCCATATTCGTTAATCTTAAGGAAAATTAAATGCCTGGAACTTCAGTGAGACGAAAAGATTTAAGTTATTAAAGTACATACTCACCCATGATAGGCAAGAAAGGACAGCAAAAAGAAGATACACGCTAGAACATCCGCTCTGCCTACGATGCCAGTCACCTGCAACATAAAACGATATAAAACAACGTTATAATATAAGAAGGAAGTGAACGTTGCACATATAAGCGCAAGAGTCGAATACGTTTAGCTTATATTTATATATTGTACTCGCTAAAAACTGAAGTGCTCACTTCAGCCTGGTATCAAAAATTCTCTTCACTCAACAAGTTGCGGTTATACGAAGCAATTCTTCGTCTGAATCGCTTTTGTCTTAGGAACGAAAAGAGAGCAGTAGAAGTGCAATAGCGGCAAGGACTACGTGTAGATCCTCTCAGAAAATAGGAAGCGACAGCTTGATATTGGATTTAGCGATGTAACACGAGAAGGCTGATCCGAAAGATGTGTGAAGAAGCCAAACCAAAGATCTCTTTCGTGACAAACGAGATGATGGACAAGACGAGCGAGTCCGTGAAAGTGTAAAAGAGAAAAGAAAGTGGGCGGGGTTAAGATTGTCCAAGTTATCGACAGCCCAGCACGAGTGAATAACCGAGATTCTCAAGGATCAACTCCAGCCAGGGAAGCCGACCCGCTACCGGAAGCTGGATTTACCCGTCGTACTCATCTCTCTTCCTTCCTTCCTTCCTTCCGCTCTGCTGGGCTAGAGTGTACCAGGTGTACCTTTAAAATTTACGAACCCCCGTCTATCACGGTGGGACGACCGACCTCCCACCTCTTAACGAATTAATTCCACGGAATCGCGGGGATACGATCTGTAAGGGGAACAGAAACTGCAGAGCAAGAATAGCGAGATATCAGTGAATTTCTGGTTCGTTCTAAAGGAATAAAGTTCGTTCTAAAGGAATATATTAAAATCCGTTTGTTAAGCCGATTACATACAACGTCTAACGTATTATACGTTATTAAGCTAATTAATATATCTAGACATTCCGACTTGACACGTAAGCTATGTTGTCTTAAATTTGTCATCCAAAATAAATTAAAATATCATTAATTTTATTTGAGTTATTCGATATAAATACATATTTGAAATAATTTGTATGATAATATAGCGTAAAAGTAAATGGCTTATATTAACTGTCAAGCGAATTGTTGATATCTTATCTAACAATATATTGTTCTCCGATGTGCTTGACAAATCATTCAAAGATGAAACAAAAACCATTACCGACATTAACATTATCATTGAATTGAGAACTGTAATTATAGATATGAGAGACATTGATGAATATATGCTTTCAGCGAAGCGAGAGAGCAAGAGAGAGAGAGAGAGAGAGAGAGAGAGAGAGAAAGAGAGAGAACGGGGATGCAATTAATCATTCAATTATAACAAAACAGTACCAGCGAGGAATAACAACTAACATTTATCTTCCAAATTTGGCGTGAATTGTATGCAAATACGAAATATATGAAATACGAGCAAATATACGAAATGTATTCCTGATGCTTTGCATAAAAATGGCAGTACTGAAATATTAACAGTGCAATATTTAAAAGGGCTTTTCAAAAATGACTATATATTATTATAATATTGTTTTATATAGTTACGGTTAATCGAATACTTAAACAAACATCAAATATTCAAACAAAGCTTGAGGAAGATAAACATTGAGTTGACATTTCATTACAATCTCGTTTTTTTTTTTTGTCATATCGCTGTACATGCTCTTGCAGCAAGTGGACCCGCAGGAAATCTTGCTCGGGGAAACAATACTCCGTCAACGTCAAGGAGAATGAAAGTCGAGTCCGAAGCAGGATCTGCTAGAAACGAGGAATCACAACCGAAGGGTCCGCTTAAGATAACAGAGGTTACGATGACCACTTTGCGATAGATTCCTTCACACGCCTCTTCGGCATCTGTCAGATTTATGGCGAGGAATAATGGTCAATTGTGAAAAAAAGAAGAATGACTGATAGGGCATTAAATTTGTCCTAACTACGAATGATGGACCATTGAAAGATAAAGAAGCAAACGCGTGCGAAGAGTAAATGAATGATAAAATCGTTTATTATGCGTCTATGGTCGTAGAGCCCGTTTGTTTCAATCCACTTTACATCAATTCTTTTCACATTCCATCAATTTTCCGAAAGCTCAACAGACATGCCATTTTTCATTCTTAGGCGAAGATACAAACACATTACTAAAATATACGTGTACGAGTATATTTAATGCAGAAATGATGATCTATTACGGGAACGCGTTTCACAGTTACATACAGTTAAGGAATCGAGGGATTTACGACACAAATAGATATGAGATGGTGAGTGTTGATGCGTTTGTTCGACTCGATACTAGTTTGCTCTAGTTTATACTTAGACTGAACTCCATTAGCATCTCACTCACACATTCTCGAGTTCTAATTGATTATATGAAGTACTACACTTCCTTGAAAGTTCGCTCGTTATTTCCAGTTCGGAGTCTTGGTCTTCTTTAAATTCTTTTTCTTATATTGTTATGTTGTCTTTTCTATTTCTCAAGATACGAACTATTATTCAGTATATTCATAATTACTGGCATTGGAATATTTATATAAATTTTATACAAAACGAATGAATAATGAAAAGGAATATTACTAATTTAGATCACTATATAAAAAAATCAAATAAGTATCAATTTAATTGTGAAATTATTATTTCAACTTTAGTTTATAATTGTGTTTTAAGTAAGTGAGCGCAGTTTATATAACAAAAAAAATGTATTTAAAATTTACATATAAAAATATTAGTGTATCTAGAGTGAATACACCTAATATTCGAATAAATGAATAAAAAATGAATAAAAATACTCATTCGAATACACTTCTTTTTTTATTAGTATAAGAAACGAATAAATACACTGAAAAAAAAGATTGGCTGCTGCAGCAAATTAGATGGTAAAATATGGCATAGCATTTTTAATTGGTTGCATCAGTCAATTTTTGGTTGTGTTAGCCTATCGAAATCCTATACTGACATTGCGAATAGACTAACGCAACCAAAAATTGGCT